AAACGAAAAGTACTAAAGGAACAAGAAGACCCCTGGTCTGGACTGCAGTCCCCTCATTCTTGAAGAGTGGAAGGAGCCCCATGAGGAGCTGTGGGAGTGGGCTGGGAATCAGAGAGCAGAATTTGATACGACTTTTATAGCTAAATAGGAGTGTGGTGAAGGAAAAAGAAGCTGCTGATTTTTTTTATAGAAACAAGAAAAAGGCATTGTGTTCTGTGTTCTTTGAATTCAGTGTTACTATCTCATTTTACCACTTTGTTCCAGTGTAAGACAGACAGGTGTGTAGACATCTGGTAGACTTTTCAGGAGAAGATAGATTTCCTCCTTTGTTTAAAACTGGTATTCCAAGATCAGATAAGATGAGAGTACAGACATAAGAAAAATGAAACAGTAGAACTCTAGAATTTCTTACCTACACTGCCAAGCCCGAGTCAGGGGTTTTGATAAGAAGGGCTGAAATCTAAACAAGCAAACAGACAGCAGCACAGGAACAGGACTTGAGAGAAGACCCATAGGACAACTGGAAATGAAAATTGGGGGACTTGCACATAATGCACAGTAACATTCAAAGCAACAAAAGAATCATCAAAGACCAATGCCTCACTGCAACACTGTGTGGGGAATGTGATACGGTAGGACTTTTTGAGGGAGTTGGTGAGGAAACACAGGAACTGAAAGTACCTGAGATTTTACCAATAAGCTGCCTCCTGCTAGACATTGGTTAAACCAGCTTGTATAACCTTTCATCACAAAAAGGTAATTCTCTTCAAATACTTCAATTGCTAGGCCACATCCCTATCTCTTTGCATTAAGAAGTAAAACTGCTTATGCCTTAGTTGTTATACATAGTTTAATTATGCCATATAAAGGAAAACCGTAGAATGGATACCTTAAGTAAAATACTTCTTAGCGCTAGTATTTTTTGAAACAAACACATAATTAAGGCTTAGATTAAAATCTGCCTTCTCTGAAAACAGTGGAAGAACTTTATGCAAGAAAGCAAATGATATGTAACAAAAACACCATCTTCCCTCCCGTATCCCCACAGGATAATGTAAGTCTTTCCAGAAATGGAATAAACAATTCTCTGGGGATAGTCAGGAATGGTCATGGTGGTTCGTTTTTAACATGACACAATAAAGCATTGTATAGGGACAACATTCTTGCAGAGTCAAAAGGACATGAAAATGAAAAGGGCTTAGTCATGGAGAGGCAAAATTAAGTACCTAACCAAAGTTCTCTAAATATCCCTGTTACCTCAGTTGTGCTATACCCTCTGTTGCAAAATACCCAATTTACTGGGCCCTCACCTCATTAGTACCAGAAATTTTCAGAGTGATTAAGTTCTATATGCTAGCCTTTGCAGGCATGTGATCAAAGGGACTATCTGATTTCCACCCACTGTGTGCAGGCTGCCAGTTTAAATATTTACTACCCTTTGAACTGGCCGACCAGGAGCACAGCAGTAGAAAGGAGCGTGAACCACATATGTACTGCCATTGACCTGGTATATGTACTATTTTCTGGAAAAGGGACATAATGAAGCTGAAGTTACATTAGTAGAAAAAGTAACTGTAGGCTATATACTTTAAAAAGCAAAAAAGAAAGACATATTGCAATGTATCGCATAAAGATCATTGCTTTAGTATTGTCTCAGAAAGCTGTCCTTGCTATAAGCCTACTGATCGAGATACAATATTGTGCGGTTATAGAAACAGGATTTGTGTAGCCATACATGGTATTAATTTAAAATGCTGTTGTTCTCCTAGGTGCCTTCAGTGTTTAGGGACATTCTCTTCCCAGCAAGTGTCTGTTAAATGAGATGCTAAATCAAATAAATGGGAGAAAGCTGTTTGGTTTTTTTGTTTGTTTGTTTTTTAATTATTATTATTATTCCCATAGTATTGTACATTCTGTTTCCAGCACTTAAGAAAATTTCAGGTGTACCCTGCTAAATGCAAACATTCTTTTACATGTCATCGGTTCAGAAGAACATGCTGCTGCTTCATCATCAAATAGTTCTGAGGCAAACTCTATAGGTGTTGTTTTTTTTTGTATTTATATTTGTTTCTTTGTATTTTACCAATTAGTAGGACTAGTTAGAGAGATGCTAAGAAAATACATCATCTTTGTAAAAAAGATGTTTTTGGTTGTTTGTTTGTTTGGTGGTCATAACCAAAATAAGATGTTGCACAGTAGCCAGAATAGAATACAAAGTCCAGCATGAGTTTGTAATTTTTTTATTTTTTTATTTTTTTTACTTCTTGCAAAATCACAATGCCTTGATTACTAGAGAACCCATGCCAGAGGTGCCATGGTATGAAAATTTCTTTAATTTTCTACCTTAAGATCCAATCCAGTAATTGACCTTCAGAACTTGGCTAGATATTGGACATCTATGGAAATATTTTAGGATCTCATCAGACCTGGTGGTGTCAAGAGGCCACTAAAAAGGTTCTGGGGATCCTTTTGCACCTGCATTGGAAGCCTTGGCTGCATATTGTTTCTGCATTTCTTTTACCTTTTGGAGGGCAAAGAACATGTAAACTCTAGGTATGGCAAATGCATAAAATAAGAAGGATCCTGAATATTCTCAGAATATTGATGCACTATTTATTTTCTTATCCCCGTAATATTTTGCTTTTAAATAAACCCTTTAACACTTTGAGTCCGATTTCAAAAGCCATTGAATCTCAAAAGAGAGGACTACAATCTCAGTAGGATTTAGAAATTCATGTATACCTTATTGTCAGTATTATATAGAAAATCTTGTTGCTGTTCTGCAGATGCTTCTTTAAATACTTCTAATTATATGCCCTCCTCTTTCCTAATTATCATTTACAACTAGGAAAAATACTGTATGATTAAAATGTGCCACCATTTCTTCACTTAGCCTTGCTTAGTACCAAGAATAACCTTGTCTTTGCTGTACTAGATACACAGATGCATTTAGATTTGCTCCCAGCATTTTCTCAGGATTCTTCCTATCAGTTTCTCTTCATCTTTCCAAGTCCATGCTCATTTTTGCTGTCTTTCTTGGTTTCTTTCCAATTCATTAATATCCTTGTCATAGCACAGTGTCTAGAACTTAACCGAAGTCCAGCTGTGGCCTCACGACAAGTTGAACATGTGTTGTAGCACTCTTGTTTCTGCTTGGAGTTTCTTCCAATCACAAACTATCATGGTAGCAGATTCACATTCAGGTTATAAATGGGTCAAATCATGTTATTAAACTTTAAAGAAATCTGCGTACTCAGTTCTTACCTGAAGCTTTGAGAAAGGAGGCTGTAGCGAGGTGGGGTTGGTCTATTCTCCCATGTGCCTGGTGACAGGTCAAGGGGGAATGGGCTTAAGTTGCACCAGGGGAGTTTTAGGTTGGATATTAGGAAGAACTTCTTTACTGAGAGGGTTGTGAGGCGTTGGAACGGGCCGCCCAGGGAAGTGGTGAAGTCACCATCCCTGGAGGTCTTTAAAAGACGTTTAGATGTAGAGCTTAGGGATATGGTTTAGTGGAGGACTTGTTAGTGTTAGGTCAGAGGTTGGACTCCGTGATCTTGGAGGTCTCTTCCAACCTAGATGATTCTGTGATTCTGTAATCTTAGAACCAATGAAGAGATAAGGAGAAAGCTCACTGGCAGCTATGGCTCACCTCTAGTGTTTCCCTGCTGTTTTCCAACCAGCCTACCTTTACCCTCTTCCTTCTCCTTCCTCCCCCCCTCACCTTTTTATTCGTTTCCTTCCCCACTGATATCCCATTGCATTTAATATTTTACTTGAGGTTTTCATCCTTATGTAGAATACTGCAAAAAAGCACGTTGTAGGCATGTGCTTTTTCAAACATTTTTCTTTTCACTTTATTACCCGCCTCATACCCCAACCACTGATGTTTTAAGTATCTGAGAGAAGAATAACAATACATTCTTCTAGCTTGTTATTGAATATACTGAGCTTAGAATTGTTTCTTACAGAAGTTTATTTACTCTTAGTAATGGTAAAAACACCATCAGCAATGATGTTCCTGCTGTATTAAACTTAGGCAGTGGTTAATTATTCTAGTGCCTGCTGCAAGGAGCTGCTCAGTGCAGTGACTAGCAGGAAAGCTTAAAAAGCTGAAGTGGTTTAGAAAGTTCATAATGGATAGTTGACATATTTTTGCTTGTTGTCAGCTAGTGCTCTCATAAGACCATAGACAGCATGAGTGAACGTAGGAGGAAACAATACATCTGCAGACACTGGCAGACAGTGTTGCTTGCCAAATTTGGCCACAGTTCCTTTAGATAAATAATTTCTCAGTGATGTGCTTGTTGAAATTATATAAACAGCAAAAGTTACTAAGACTGAGGCCCCAGGGTTTTGTGGGTTTCAAGATTTTCTGCAATCAATATTCTGACATCTGCAAATATTTTTCTCTAACAGCTGATGCCAGGAACAGAGCAATATTACCATCACTTTGTATGTATTAAAGATTTTGAATATATTGAACGAATTGCTCTTCAGCCACAGCACTGGTCATGACCTTTGCACTAACATTACAAACACTTTCTATGAGAAGGCTTGCACAAAAGTTATCAAAGCAGTAATCTTTTCACAGAATGGCTTGTAACCTTTTATAGCAACAGCTCCACTAGCATTTCAAGAAATGTAAGTGGGAAAACCTTGTATTAAATTTCAGTCTCTGTAAGTATCATGCATTTTTAAAGCACCTCTGCTGAGCATAATGGAACTTACTTTGTACAATGAATACTTGGGGTTAGAGGTTAGTTTTTCCTCCTTAAGACTAGACAATAGCTAGTTTCTAACTTTGTGTAAGACTTCCTTGATAATTAAGATACCTCCACTATGACAGCTATATACACTAGTGCTATCTGAAAAGTGTTTTACATTACTGAGGAATTTATACAGGAAACAAATCTGCATAATTCTTCCTGAGCAGGAATGTCCCACAGGAAAACTTTACTTGACTAATCTTATTTTTATAGAAGCATCTCTAGACACTGTTCTGAAGTTATAAAAACAAATCCTTTATTTAAGATATTCTGTGAAGATCAGTTTCCATAACAGAAATCACTTTTACATGTCACACAAGACATTCTGTAGGCCATAGTTGTTGCATATTGACAGCTACCCATGGCACAGAGGAAATATGTGCTGTGCAAAATGAGTAACTGCATTTTTCGCTAATACCTAAGTAGGAATGAACAGATGGGGGGGAGAAAATGTACTTTAAAAACAGTTATGCATTTATTTTGATGATAAAACCTCCAGTACCTGGCCCTTCCTCTAGCAACACTCCCAAAGTAGAACTGTTGTCTGAAAATAGTCTGAACAAAATTAATGGAATTTGTTCCATCTTCAGTCTCCCATGTAGTACTCAGGAACAAAGCAGAAATATGAAATTATGGAAAAAAAAACCTCTCAAGCACTTTTCCTCTCAGTCCTGCCTTAACACAAATTTGTATATTTTGAGGGAGAATCTTGAGAATTAAGCTTGGAGCACAAGAAACTCTTCTTTTTAGTCAAAGAAAATTTTCTTAGAGAACAGGTACACACAGTAATAACACGTCAAAAGTGTCATAGGATAAGACCATGCTAGTGATGTTTATGTAATATTTACATCTGCAAGTATTTCTTAATGTAAACTTACATTTGCAGTCCAGCTGCACAAGACGATTTCAGTAGTGCTGTGCACAATGTCATGGTATTTCACTGAGTGTAAACATTAAGGGCAACAGGATAAAACTGCTTCAGAATCTCATGTTCACATAAAATGTATCAAAGCAATACCAGGGTATGTTCTCATAGACTTATGCCTTTAAAAAAGGGATGCAGCAAAGCCTCTTTTGCAGTTATTCTTGTTGCAGGGTTTAAGTCTAGTAGCTTATCAAGTAAGTCATATGCTTCATCAGGAACCTGATCCCATCCTTTCATGTCTGTTGCCTTAATTTCAGAAGCACCATCACCTTCCTGACAACCCTTTAAGTATTGAATTTCTTTTCCAAGTGTCTCAGGGGCACACTGTTTGTCTATTTCAACTGGCAAAGCTGAGTCATTTACAGACTTGATGGGTACATCAGGCTGGGATCTGCTACAGCTGCTGTTTGTTCCTCTCAGCTTCTCACAAAGGGCTCTTAAGTTTTGTGCTGGGACAACTTGGGTACACAGAATGGATTTACCTAGGGAAAAAAAAAAATTTGTTCAGAAAATGACATTTTATTATACTTGCTCTGCAACTATAGCTTCTAAGTTTGTTTCAGAGAATATTTCAAAACTTGAAGTAACAGACATTAGTTCAAAAACAAACAAAAAACACACACAAAAGATCCACCCAACCAACCAACCACCTATGTTTTACAGTGATGGCCCCAGCAAGACAGAAGTACAGTCTCAGTTCTGCTCAGAACAAACCTATTTGTTTGTTCATGAAGTTACGAACTGACAAATTGTCACCCAGTCCACACAACATCTTTTTCCATTTCACTGTCAACTAACTTTACAGAACTGAAAATTAAAAACCCAATTCAGTTTATTACTTATATTACTGATTTAAACACCCATGTCTGGAGAATGAAAATTGATGCTGTCACTTACACTTCCAGGTATCAAGTGCTTTAACGTGTGGCTTGCAGACAATTAGGGGAATGGTTATTTCACGTTTTGTGCTTTTTTCCCCCTCCAAACAGGCCCTCTCTTTTTTTTTTTAATTGTTGTTCTTTTTTTTTTTTTTTTACTGGTCCTTTTTGAGGAGATAATAAAGCAAGTTTTACAACATCTAAATATTAAATCCTATTGACTTAAGGCTGTAAGGCAGATTTTGCAGGAGTAGAAACATTGCCTCAAAAATTCTAACCAAATCCTGGTAGAAAGCATTTAATTGGCATAATTTTACCTCGAGTGGCCTTGACTTACTGAAAAGTTGTGGACAGGTAGGGAAATCTATGGCATGAGGTAACCGACAAACAAATTACAAAAGATAGAAAAATACAAAATTTTCTTAAAACTGCGCATGTACAGATTAGTAGTGTTATAGCATTTTACATGCAAAAAGTGTGATTTACTACTAAAGTGACTCCCAGAACTTAAAAATATATTTATAATTTAAAACTCACAACTTGACTGTAAGTCACTGTATGAAATAGCAGACCAAGCATACATTTTCCCCTTTTCCCCATAATTAAGATTTGCATACCGAAAGTTTTAGCAGCCTGAATGGTTTCCCTGGATCCACGAACTGTCATGATTTGTGCCAAAGCAGTTAAATCATCACTTGCTTTGTAAAATGGATACCGTCCACTGAGCAGAGAAAGGAATACAATTCCTGCAGACCACATGTCGATTGCTGCAATTAAAAGGAAACTCAGTAACAAGTAAACTTACAATTTCATCACAAACAAACTCCCAACATTCTTCAAAAAGAAATTATGACCAGAAATGTTATCAGAAAAAGTAATGTTCTGAATTACTGACATAAATCACATAGATAACATGTCAGCAGACAGTGTAAATTGCTATAATTATATACAAAAATTTCCTGCTTTCATATAGAGGAGTGTTTTCGTTTTTCCATAGAATTTCTCACATGAGGAATTTTATTACTTTGCAAAACTTAAAGTACCAAAACAACATTCAAGTTATTTTACTCAGGGAGCTGAAAAGGGGAAAAATGGCTAGTTTCAACACTTATTTAAGTTTGCTTCAGATTAAGAAAGCATTATATAAAGACCATGAATAAAAAGCAATTCAGAAATGAACACGAATCTTAATTTTCAGGGACTCAAGGTGCCAATTAGGCAGTACTAAAAAATTCATCCTACTACAGTTTGCTGCTCTCTAATATGAAATCACTTGACATGATAGCCAGTTTAAGAACTCTAATAGTTAGAAATTATTCATCACTTTCATTGTGTTATAAAGAGTACACAGAGTACTCTGAAGAAAGACGCCAAAGCATGATGGAAACTTTAATACTGAAAGTTATGAGAATACCTGTCTGCCATAATTTTTTGGCTCGATAAATTGAAAATTTTGAGAGATGGCAAGGAAAGTGAAGGAGAGAGAGTTTGAAGAATTCTCAAACTCTAGAGAGAAAAATTAACAGTCGGGAAATAAAGCCATAGTTATTGTACTTATCTCCCAGAAATTGGTCATAAATTTTCTGTAATTAATTTTGACATTTTAGCTAGAAACACCATCAGCACAGGATTCTGAAACTACTAAGTTGACTTCAGTTGCAAAACCAGGTTTTAAGTCTTTTTAAAAATAAAAACCCAAATTAATTATGGGTACAATTTAGAGTGCAAAAATTTTCATCTTATCTTGTGAATAAGTTTTAGTACTACTGTATCAATGTTGACCACACTATCTGCTTGAGGTGTTTCCCTGTATAGGAAAGACAATTATTAAGGTCAAGGCCTTTAAAGATGTCTTCCCAACTCTAGCTGAAATTAACTGACATTATATACTTGAACAACTAGTAAATCCAAGCCCTACAATCCTGGTAGGGCTGGGATGACCAGCAGACTGTAAGATCTTGTGCACCTCAACATCATGAGTCCTTCCTGTGCATTTGTCTAGTGGTTAGTATCTAACTACTGAGGCACATGGACTTGAAGGGGAGCAGAGGGACAAACCAAGTTAAAATGTAACTGGACATGTTTAGGACCAAATTGGGAGTTTGGGCTGTATTCCCTGTGCTGTAAACCTAGGTCAGTTACTTAAGGTAGCTCTGGACAGAGTCAGCTGGATCCAGCTGGTAACTCGGTCACAGCGCAGAGACCAAAACTAGTAGCAAGACTGGCAGGAATACAAGGAGCTGACTACAGCAGTCCAAGATGGAAAGAGCAGTCTGAGAAGGAAATTTGTTACTTCAAGTATACCATTATCTCATAAATATTAGTATAAGTCTACCCAGTTCTAATTAAGCACTTTGTTGACATATTACAACAGCTCTGCGCCACTGACTCAGTACCTTTAGGGCTGTGTCACAACCCAGGGTTTCCAGATTTACCATATTTTCTGTAATCCTGCTCTCCATTACCCTAGAGAACAGAAAACTGTCTGAAAGCTTATTTAAGACTATCCTGTGTCCAAAATTTCCTAGGTATGTCTTCCTTCTGCCTAAATTCTGTCTAGACAGATTTAGGGATTGTCTAAACTTGTCCTGGATTTCTGGATGTTTTCTAGTCCATGAAGCTGGCTGTTACAGCACAGACACAGTAACTCCAAACAGACTGCCATTTTTGAATACAGGTTCTGAGAACAATTGTATTTATCCCCTTTTTTTGTTAGTCAAAACTCCTGGTTGTACACCAGATATTTATAATAGGTAACTTTGCTTTTATTGCTCCTCCATTCTGCAGGCATGCATAACCTCTCCCATCCTACTTTCACCACCCGATGTATTAACCATCCTGCTGTTCTGCTCCAATGTTTACCAGGTTACTGAAAGTTTTGAATTTGGTAAGTTTTAACCCTGCATAGTTAAAAATCTTAGTAAGAAAAAAATCACAAAACTTCAAAACTTACAGATCAGCTATTTAAAGCACTGGCAAAGAGGAAAAATCTGGTTAAAAGTACTGATTAACCAATACTTCCTAGAATACATTTGCAATCATACTATTCCTTTTGTCTGCTATGACAGCAAATGTGACAACCTGTCTAGAAAAGTCTAAAGTTATCCTGCCAAGATTTATTCAAGATTTTTCTTGAATAAATAAGCCAATAAACCAAGAAACTTGATAAAACTTACGCTTTGTTTTCTTTTAAAATGTGTGCTATCGACCTCCTGCATATGGCAGTACTCCTCAAATGAATGAAGACATATTCAAGTTTCAAACACAATGAAAATACTCCTAACTTGTTCTTACTCTGAGTAATAAACTTTTAATTAAAATAAGGAAATGCTTGCTAAGTATTAGAACGGATGATAAACTGAATTTCCTATGTAAAAAGAAAGCCTCACATTAAAAAAGACAACGTAATGTGCATAAGTAAGAAAGATTGAAAGGTGAAAATAGGCATTAGTTTCTGTCTGTTGTGTATTACCTGTTGTCTGAGTGGGGCACTTTGTTAATACTTCTGGTGCTCTGAATCCAGGTGTTCCTGCTCTGGGAGCAACTTGCTGACACCTTGTAATAAGAGACAAATACATTTAGAATATAAAAGTTGAGAAATTAGTTCTAACTGTAATAACTTTAGAATATACTTCTGTGAGATGTTTAACCCTGACTTCTTGATTCAATTTTTAGAGCTTTGATGCATCTTATAGTTATCTAGCATATGATTATTACTCCATATAATAGCTTAATTATAATTACTTGTTATGTTTTTATTATATTATCTAGCATAAGGTAGCATCACAGAAATACTGCACAGTCCCGTCACAATGACTATTTTTAGTTTCATTCAGTGGTAACATAATTTCTGCTAAAGGTTTGTTTTCACAGGGAACTTTAAAGCTAAGACTAATTAAGGGTTAAAAATGCATTGGAGTTTTGGGTGTGGACATTCTGGCTCTGTATTAATCCACAGCAAACTAAGGTTCACTATTTCTGAGTGTTGTCAATAATTTACTTTTTGTTAGGTTAACTAAAAGCTGTGTGATTATTACTAAGATCTTTCCAGAGCTTTCTTGCATGTCATATGAAGTGCCTTCCTTTTATGGGCCACTTTTCTTTTTAGTTTGACAAATTCCTCATGTTTAATTTCTGAAATGAATGCTATCGCCATATTTTGACAGTCTGAGAAAAGCAGAACCACAGTTTCATGACTATGCCTAACAAGCAAAATTTGCTGCATGAAGCCACGTTCCCCAGTGTTGGGATAAAAAGTAATGATCGATAATAACCGAAATCAGTTGCAGAGGAATGGATTTGAATGGAGTTATTCAGATTCTCTAACCTGTCTACTATTAAAATGTAAACATATTTTAAATTAAATACAGAACAATCATCTTTCCTTTTTATTCTACATTTTGTGATTTCCAGAATGCAAACAGCTTGAGAAATATTTTTAACATAAAGTCCTCAGAAGGCAGGATCACTGAATTTTAATGCAGTTGGCATAATTTAGGCCTATAAGGTAACTACTAAATGATGGATTGATGTATCGTCTACTCTAAACCTTGTAATTAATTAAAGTGATGTTCTACAACACATGTAGGCAGATAATTAAATACAACAGCAACAGAAAATCATTAACAATGAACCTCTCTTGTGGTGCAGGTCGCAGTGAAACAATTACTCCATGAATTCCAGAAACTGTTCTTTTTTTAAAAGAGCATGTTTAGTGTTTTAAGGGTTGCACAGATCAAATGCTATCTTTCACCTACTAAATCAGCTGTCTAGTAAATCTAAGTTTCTGACCTTGTTTGACAGCGCAGTAAGCAATTTTAAAACATTATTGAAGCAAATTACCTTGAAAGGCAAACACTGCAAACTCTATCCGTTGCATAACAGTCACAGGTCAGGTTTGATGGACAACCACTGGCAGCTTTTCTGCCTACCCCATTGCTCACTGTCCTGGTAGAAATAATCTTCTTCTTTGTTACTAACTTCCTAGATGAAACATCGATCACCTTTGATTGTTTCACGAGCTGCAATACAGATATTTTTGTGACAGTGAAGTATTTAACAAGTTTCCCTTTTCACATAGATACATCAGTCCCTGAACAACTGAAGAGGCTCTCATCAGCAAAGAGCTACAGAAGAGCAGAAGATAGCAACTCTTTCTACCAATACTATAACATCTATAAAACAGATCCTAGAGCTTTTTAAGTATCCTAATCTCTCCTTCTTCCCTTTTGGAACACATTTTTCAATGGTTACAAAAATCAGTATCCATTAGATATTCTAAAGATACAAGTTTTTTTCAAGTTAGTACTTTTCAAGCATTCTTTTAATTCAATACAAGAATAAAAATGCATGAAATAATGCCACAGCAACACAGTGGCACTAACTCTAATTCTACAGTAAAATGATCACTGTTAGACCAACCCTCTAATTTACTTGGGGTTTTTCCCCATGTCACATTAAATCCTAATTATAAAAAATACATAAAAATATTTATTACTTCAATTGCAAAATAAAAAAGGAAGGCTAAGTATATCTTAGTTGCACAGATACACATACAGAAAAGATATTAATTAGCATTACAGAGACAGCTACGTAACTAGCTCTTTAAGAGTTTCAAAAAGGACTGAAACAAATGAAAATTCTTCAAGCCTTCCAGTAAAGACACGCTTAATATTCTGTTCAAAACTTTTAGTTCCACAGGGTCCTGTAGTAGTGTCCAGTCTTACAGAACAACCAGTTCTATAATTTCTCAAATACGTAACAGATTGCTCTTACTGATGAGTCATATTCTTACTTTTGTATTTGAGTTCTCCTGGTATGTGGAACTATAGACATTGAAATTCCTCTCTCCAAAGACAGAGCGCTGGACAGAATGGTGCACATATTCCTCCTACAATACCAACAAAAAGGGCAATAAGGATCCTATCTAATACACAGTCAGCTGGATACTGACAGTTCAAAAAAAAAAGTGTGAAGTGACATATAACAAGAACAGCTGCATGGCAAGTCATTTTCAGGCATCACTTTACTGTGGATGAAGAAAACATCGTCTAGACAGACCAGCAAACATGCTTACAAAATGAATCACACCTTAAGTGCCCCAAGACAATTTGAAACGTCATCTGTATTGCATTTGTTATGCAACTAGGCATACATGAATAATTATTGTTTTGGGGAGGAGTTCCATGGTACATGGGATTTAAAAAAAAAAGATTTAGGGCTTTCTAGAGCAACCCATGCTAGAGTTTTATGCAGCCTTCAACATGCATTATATCTACCAGCTACAGAATGTTGCCAGTGGTTATATAAAACTCACTACTTCAATATAAAATCTGTGATTCTGTGCATCAGATTATGACCCTACAAGATAAGTATGCACAGCTTTTGTTCAAGTATAACATCTCCCCCTGTTGGACAAAGCAATATATTAAACATGCAACAATATTAATGAAAAGGACTGAGAACCTTTCCTCCTCTTCCTTGTTTTATCTGTATTTTTGACAGTGAGCTGGACCGTTTATCAGACGCTTTTGAGGCTGACTGTTGAGCTATCTGTTTAGGTGCTGTGACGCCGACAGAAACCCCATTTCCCAGAGCTGTGTTGGGATTACTTTGTGAGCAACTTCCCTGCTGGTCTTCAGACTGTGCAGTTTTGAGAAGTTCAATTTTTGTATCAGGGGTTCCTTGTGCCAAGCCAAAATCTACCAAGGCATACCTAAAAGACAAAAATTTAGAATTATAAGTCAAAAAGTATCAACCAGTTCTATCTACTATTCATTACTTGTTTATCTGTGTTTTCCTCAATATGTTGCTTATCTGTCATGTTGCCAGCATCACAATGCTATTCTCCTCCTTTTGTCCTATCTGTCCTGCCGTATTTGTCTCCCACTGTTTTACCCCATACCTATCTGTCTGTCTATATTTTTTTTTGTGTTCTGTAAGCTTTTCAAGTGTATAAATTTCTCCACTGGTGTTTTAAAAACGATTCCCAGCATCTCCTTTCTGGGTTCTTCTGGTTCTATGGCTCTGAACTACCTCAGAAACAGTCAAGTAAAAATGAATCAATACTTGCAGGACTCCCCTGGACGGAGGCACAAATGCAGCAGTGAAGACAGATGAGACAATAACAATGCTGAGAGTTTTGCCAAGCACTGCTACTGGAATTTACTTCACTCTTCAATCGGGTAGGACTACATTAGGACTACATTTCAGATTTGTCATTAGAATAATCATTTTTGGTAAAACCATTACTGAAACAGTCCAGCTGTCCCTGGGTCTCAGACAAACTCAATTCCACAGCCTCCACATCTTAAGTAGAGATTAAGGTTCAAAGTTGGAAAAACAAAATGGTGTAGGAATACATTTTGAGAGACAAAAATAAGTATTTTTCAAATTTCAAAGTTTGGGACTTGGCAAAATATAATCACGTTTCTCCAACAAACTTTAATTGCACATACTCACCAGTGCAGCCATAGGACTGCTAGCACTGACACAGGACTTTAATCTAGCTATTCCAGTTCTTCACAAAAAAAGCATTATCTTGCTTTTAACAGTTGTTAGATATTGTAACTTGCAGAGGATAAAAAAAAAAAAAGCAATTGTGCTAGTTATAAAAATTAATTCAATTTAAGATAAAAACCCAAATCCAACAGTCTCATCTGTATCAGATTTACACTGTCCATGAGAAAAAATTACAAACATTACTCTGTGCACTCCAAGTCACCATTAGCTTTATTCAGACAACTAATGATTTATTCTCTTAATTCTTATTCAAAAAATGCAGCACTTCTACTCAATAGTAAAATTTTTATTTTTTCAGGTACTTGTCACTCTATAAGGCAGATACTACATTAAATATTAAAAAAAATCTTTCCATACTCAAATCCCTGAGCACAGAAATGAGTTTTACGAATGAAAAAAATAGCTTTTTTAGCTTTATTACTTAAGCACATGTTATGCATCTGAAAGGAAAAAAAAAAAAGCCTGATTTACTCTGTTCTGCCAAGGCACACATCCCCAAATGGTATCACGATATGGTCATCTGGACACACTTACTCTTTTAGCCGCCTGTTGTAGAGGAAGTTACTGGGTTTGACATCACGATGAACAATACCAAAGTGATGAATGCGCCTCAATGCTTTAAACAGATTAAACATGTATTCTCTCACTTCTTCAAAGGAAAGAGTATTCAAAATGTCCTGAAAGATTATTTGGATACTGTAATTATGCAACTACTTTCAACTAAGAGGTTCTACTATAAATAAAAAGTCTGGGACTCACCAAGAAGGATTCGTGTTCCAGATAGGGCATAACAATAACCACATGATCATTTTTCCTAAAGCAATATTTAACTCCCATAACATTATCTTGTCCCCTAAAAGAGAAGTAATGTCACTGAATAAAGACCAGAAGACTAATGTTGATATTTGTTTCTTATAAAATTCAGTCAGGCTTTATTTTAATATATAGCTTATACTTTGACAGCAGTCTTACCAGCAGCGAGTAACTACGCTGTTCTCATGTCATTGTTATGTTCCATGTAAGTTTTGCATTTGCAAATGAGGGCTCCACAGGTTTTGGGGCCATGGTTTGTAGTTACTGCTGTGTTTAAAGTTAACCTAACCTTCATGATACCAGCTTCCTTCTGAAGGTGTGCTATTATTCAGCACTCTGGCAACCAGCATTCATTCCTAAAAATGTATTTTCTGATTACGAGGTTATTTTTTCCAAGCATTTCAGAACTGGAATATTTGTTATCACATAGATACATTATAGAATCAGATGGAAAATATAGCACCACCTGCAAACTGAGACTAGCAGGAAAGGACATTCATTATAGATAAGACTCCATTTCTTATTTGCTCTTGCTATAAAAATCATACATTTCTGTGGTTAAAAACAAAAACAAACAAACAAACAAAAAAAAAACACAGAAGAAATGAAGTGCCAAAACTTTAAATAAATAAATGCAGAACAGCAAGACAATATTTAGTACTTTAATCATGACAATCACACATTTTTTTTTTGTTTATGTACCCTGCTACTGTGAGGCACTGAAGTTCAGCAGCAATTCGCAGAGGGTGACTGGTTGGAATCAAGTGCTTCAGAGCCATTTTTTCTTCACATCCCGCTTGTAATTTTGCTGTGGCCAAGTAAACAGAACTAAAAGTACCTGTAAAGAAGGGAGAAAAACATTGTCTTCAGCATCTTTAATTAGGTCAATTCACTTTTCACAGAAATAATCCAACTGTTCACAGTCTTACAGTGCACTTGACACTACGTCAAAAGCAGATTCTATAATAGAAAATATGCAGTTCCTTTTTTCTATTACTGAATTCAGTGATCTTGTATACAAGTTTTTTATGTCAGTAGAAATGCAAATGTAACACTGTCTAACTTGCCTGGGACATAGAGCTCTCTGAATGTAAATTTCCTATCTTTGATTTGATTTCTTGTTTAGGTAGCTCACTTTCATCTGACATCCAGCTCTTCTCTCCCTGCAGTGTAAGTGGGCTATCTAATGCTAATCTGGAAAGCACTGCTTTTGCTTTTTCAAAGCATTTCTGAAATCACTTACACTGCCTTCATTCTGTTAACTTATTTATAAAGTAAGGCAGATTCTCACTTGATGTCTACTTTACTATTTGTTTGCCCCCAGCATGACCACATAGACAGAACAAGATAGATTCATTTGAGAAAGGGACTATTCAGACTGTACAATAAACTCTCCCACATTATAAAGATATCCTAATATACCTCTGAGAAGGTTAATTTATCTTAATGATATGAGATATCTGAAAATATAAGTTGAAACATTCTTCCATATAAATAACCAGTTCAATTTACTTTTGATTATATTTTAAGTATTGTGCTTGCATCGTGTTAAATTTAACAGTCTGTAAGTGTATACATACATCAAATGCCAGCAAAAATTCTAAATACTTCTTTCAGTCATAAAAAAGCTAGAGTCCCATAAATTCAGTAGAATTGCTCATAGCAACATGGGTTACCAAGTTGACCTAAGACCTTAGTTTTGGTAGTGAGAACTGCTAAAACAAAACAGACTCCTGAACAGAATCTTAAGTCGAAGCTTGTCTTCTCCTAATCCTGCAGATCTGCTGGTGGTATTTTTGGCTCTCAAGAGCATTGTTTGCTTCCAAGAGCAACATTGGAATATTATTCATAACTAGAGATTTTGCTTAATTATACTATCTTATTTATGATAGCCAGAACTTCACATTTTCTTTAAATTTTGGATCAGTGTACTGAATGGAGGCTTCTTTTTTGGAGAGAGAAACTTTTATCCACATAGTTTGCCATCACATGTATTCCATCACAAAACAACTATAATGCAATCCTGTTTTCTCAAAAACATCTTAATTTAAAAGTGTGGAGTGTCATTACACATTTCAGAGATCAAAAAGATAAAGTTTTAAAGTGTGCTTAAGTTGGAAACCACTAAGAATCTGTTTATAGTAATACCTAACTTCTATTAAAGAATTATCTGTTGAGTATCAGGAGTACACAAGTGCTCCAAAATTCCACGCTGAATGTCTTAAAACAAAACCAAAAAAAGAAAAATTAAAAACCACACTAAAGTAGTTATAATATTCCAGCCTCCTCCTCCCCTTCTGCCCAAAGGATTTCAGTGGAAACAAAACCAGTAGTTAAATATGTCAAAACAATACATATAGATTTCTCATGTTGAAAAGGGAAAGGAAAGAGAATGGATGTTAGGACTTACTTGCTCGAATCTATCCCCCCAAATTTTAGTTGTCAAAATGAGAATGTTGGCTTTCTGAAAAGCTTTAGCACACTGGATATTCACAAAGATCTCTTGAAAATGTTCCTAACTAAAACACCTATATATTCCGTAACTTATTAAAATTACTGCATACACCAAAAAGTAAATCAAAAATGTGTCTGGCTTAGATTATATATATATTGGCATGTTAGATTTATACCTCTTAAGTTATAAAAACAAAAAATTAAGTTCAAGAAAGTTAAAATAAAACATTTACCTTCTCCAATTTTTTCCTTAATTTTGAACACATTTACAAGCTGTGGCACTGCTTCATAAAGTTTTTCAATATCTTTTTTTATTCCTTCTTCGGAAAGAATAAGAAAAATTAGTTAGGACTATTATTGCTTGATTCAATATCCGATCTGTATTTCAGATCACAAATCACAATTCAATTCCTAGTATTGTGAATCAACAAACAGAGGAAAAAATAGCAGAGGGGTACTTATCCTTGCTGACATTAATATCCGCATACTTGATTATCTCCTTCTTCACATTCCCTTATATGCTGCAGCATTTTTTAAAAAATTACTTACTTGCCACCTAGCAATTCCTGAGACAGGAAAAGCCTTTTTAATAAGAATTCACATTCCAACTCATTGATAAATGTTTTCATGAGATGTGCAATGTTGATTTCACAAAAGACAAAACTATAATAGTAATTTACATAAACACAGGAGCACATCGATGGGATGCAAATCAAGGATCAAAAACGTAGGAAAATTATCAAGATTACTAACACATTCTCATAGATTGTTACTCAAAATAGGAACTACCAAAAAACATTTGCTCTGCATTTGAATTTTTGCACTTCGTGCTGCAGTCACTAGATGGCATGACAAGGATATTGTACTGTATTCTTCCAAAAAATTATGTAATTTTCTATTCAAGTCACGAATCCTTGTATTTTAAGTGTTCTCTATAGCCTGGTTAAGAATTCACTTCTTTTGAAGCCAAGTATGAAGTATGTAGAGGCTGTGACTAACTTCTGTAAAGCAGGCATAAAGAATATTTTATTATAAAGAAGTATGCAAAAACTGGCATTTGGAAAGTCAATCAAATGGAGAAAAAAAGAACGTGTATACATTTTGCATCCTAAAAACTAATCATAAATTCAATTTAACAAACACATATATTGTACTGTGTACATAAAAGTATACTGTAATTTACCAGGGCAATAATTCACAAGCAAGGAGAATTATTTTCAAACTATCATTATTACACTTGTAACAAAGCATGGATTAGTAAAACATAGGTGTTTCCTCTCAGGAAGGTATTAACCTTAATTAGTTCTGAAACATCCTATACAAACTTCATTCTGAGGCCAGTAGCCATCGGACAGAGTTAGAAAATGGTTCTTGACAGTGATGTATTTCTAACAGCTCTGTCAGAACAACCCTTGTTTAGAACTAGATTGCTATGCAAACTGCTTCAAATAAAGCAACTTAACAATTTGTTTTCAATGCTTGTACCTGAGTTTGACTGACACGAACTTATTGATGCTGAAACTTCCTGAAGTGATGAAGAAACACATCAGCAATAAAACATAACATTACTAGTCTCTGTTTTAGCACATACCTGAAAGCTTGCTGTTCTGCTCATGCTTCCTGCTTATGTCTTCAGCCTGATGAGGGTGCTGTTCATCACAATGAGACTTCAATGCTGTCTCCATCACAAAACTAACCTTAAGAAAAAAAAAAAAACACAAGACTTTGAGGACTGCTTCTGGACACCTCAGGGAGCAAACATATCTGATACTTCCTTGCCCTGCATTCAGTTTCTGAGATGAGATCTGCGGAGTCCGAGGAGTTCCTCTGTGCTACTTTAAAAAAAAACAAAGACTCATCCAGAGAGAAACTAAACCAGTAAACCCACTCTATCCCCAGTAAAAGGAGAAAAGGGAGAATGGAAGGAAGACAGCACGGTAAGCTTAGACACAAATGATTTTCTTTTATCTCATGTGTTTGCTCATTCACATTAAAGCATTATCTTTTCCCTGCAGTTTGCTTTGAAAAGCAAGGAGCTGATCCACACAGAACTAGCTGCATTGCATACTGCAGCACCAACACAGAAACAAAAAACTTGAAACCATTTTTAAGAGGAAAATATCTGCTCAGTATGTGAGATTTCTCCCTCTCTCTTCTAGGGAAGATAAACAAAAAGCCTAAGTATTTGTTCCCCTCCCTCAATAATAGGACGTGCTTATTTGAAATGCTTCTTGCCAAATCTTGTAAACAAAACTGTAAATTACTACAATGTACTAATACTGTGTGTACTAATATTGTACAAGTAAAAGAAAGAAAAAGATAACCCTCTTTCATGAAGAAAAGAGAGCACATCAGGGAAAGATAACCAGCAGTCAGTGAGATTAGAACCACCGCCTCGCACAGTTGCACTACAGTTTCTGAAGATGTTCCTTGCTTGTAACTCTGCCAAACCTACAAAGTTCTGGCTGAAGGCAGAAAAGTATTTTGAAAAGCTTCAGATGAAAGGATTTATCGGCTCCAGCTATGGAGCTGTAAATACATTTTGTCCCCAAAGAATTCTGGCTGCCTTCAGTTTGTCATCCACGTGCAGCAGAGCGGAGGCAGGCAACAGCTGCTTTCTCTGAGGTAACTTTGCTGGAGAGCACGGCTTGGAAACTGAAGGAAGGAAAGCAGAGCTGGTTCTGCAGTCTCTTTCACAGGTAGACACTCCCTCTGCTAGTGCTGTGTAGGCAGATGAGCCTGTTCCAAACCTGGAGTGGCACGGCCTCCTTGGCAGGAGCGCAAACAGGCCTGGTGGCCTCTCCTGCAGCCCACTCGCTGCGACCCAGCACCGCACCGGCCTCAAGCTGGGCCTCGCGGCTGGCCACGGGCAGCTGCTGCGGCAGGCAGGGCACGGGAGCAGGCAGGGGACGGGAGCAGGCAGGGGACGGGAGCAGGCAGGGGACGGGAGCTCCTCGCTGCGTGCGCAACTCCACGGGGACACGAGAGTAAAGGCTCCGTCCCGCAGGCTGCCATTTCCGTCAGTTCATGTTAAACACAAGCTACTACCTGCAGAACTAAACATCCAGGACGGTAACATAGATAGATAGATAGAGAGATCTATTCGGTTATTTAAGGAAAGCAAGTTTTGCGGCTGGATTAAGCCCCGCAGTGCGCTGACGCCGCAGAGCCGTATCGAGCCCGCACAGCCCGAATTTCGGTTTGGGCCGGACAAGGCCGGCAGCCCGGGACAACAGGAGATAGCCCGAAGGAGATGAGCACGGCTCTGGGGGCAGCTCCTGGTGGCACGGCTCGGCTGCAAGCCCGCAGCCGGGCCACGCAGAGCGCCTTCGGGGCGCAGCCTGACCGGCCGGCACCCCAGGCTACCGGGCGAACCCGGGGCCGGCCGGGCCGCCAGGGGTTGCCGAGGGGCCCCCAGCGCCGCTGCCCGCCGGGGATGGCCGCGGGGGAGGGGGGAGGCACGGAGCGACCGCCCCGTACCGGGCTGGGGGGGGAGGGGGGGGTTGGGGGGGAGTAGAGGGGAGCCGCGCGCGGGACCTCACTCACGCGGCTGCCGCCGGGGTTTTGCCCGCTGCCGCCTTTTGCCGAGCGCCCCTCCGCAGCCAATCCCGGCCCGCAGCGGAAACCGCGGCCTCGGCGAATGGGGCGGCCGCGCGGAGGGAGTCGCGCTGCTATTGGGCGGCCGGCGGGAAGAGGCCCGCCCCGGAGGGGAGAGCGGCGGCCGCGCGCGCGGGGCGGCCGTGAGGGGCCGTGAGGGGAGCCGAGGGCCCCCCTCAGCCCGGCCGCGGGGCGGGCATGAATTGGCCTGCTCCGTGGTTGAATTGTGTAACAGAAGGGATTGCGCAGCGTACAAAATGAAATGTGCGTTTTGGTTTCAGTCCATGCGGTAGCCACTGGCCGTAGAACAAGCAATGAAAAAGACACAGTGTGTCTGGAAAACACGAAGCAGTGAAGGAAAAGATTCTGTATGCCTTTGTTTCTCTGACAGAGATCGCAGGCTTTGAATTCTTGTGACTTGTGCCATCCTAAAAGCTTTCCCGTGGAGATACTTTTGTAGAATGGATTTAAGCCTACTCACAGCAGGTGTGTGCTTCTAATCTACACTGCAAGAAAACCGTAACTTTAGTGGCTGTAAGTTTAAAATCAACAGTTCTTGTGACTACTGAAGGACCAAAAGCAAACAGGAACATTATGGGTCGTGACTCTGTGGTCTGCAGGAGAGGCCCAGCAAGTGCAAAGCAGGATGGTGGGTTAGCCAGGCAGCTGCAGCCCTGCATGCCCTGCATGTGGCTAGCACACACACGGCGGGGCAGAGGTGTTTTAAATCTTCTGGGTTTTACTGTCCACTGCCTATCAGTTGCTGGACTTCCGGGCATCAAATTCTATTGAGTGATGCAAGGAAAAGAGATAGTTCATTGGAATTATGCTTTGCTGTTGCTTAAAGTGGTGGAACATTAGGGAAATCAATGCAGTTGCATGTTTCTAAATAGAATAATTTAGCACTTTCTGTCTTTTATTCATATTTTTTTTGGTCATTATTTCTTTTTATTTTAAGGTGAAAAGCATTTTTTTGTTGTTGTTGTTAAAGAATAGCTTCTCTTCTGCATTTGAATATGCCTAACTTCAGCCCTAGGTAAATAACAACAAAGCCTGAAGTTGCCAAAGTTCCCAAGGCAGCATTGCAACTTGGCCATTACCTTATAATAAGCTGTAGCTAGGTTAGCAAAAACTTTAAAACCAGAAACAGGTTCTACCACTTTTATCAAGTTGTGTAGTCTCCCATTACACCGTTTAGAAATAGGGTGATGAAACACGTTGCTGAGCTACTTTGGTGGTTCTGTTGTTTTATTTATTTTTTTCCAGTGGTTATTCTAATTTGCACTTTCTGTTAAGAGCTTTTAACAAAGCAGTTCAGCAGCTGGAGATTTAGCTAAGTTAAGATTGGGACAATCTTTATTCATTTCTGAATACTTCATTGCACTGTGTTGCATTACTTTTCAAGCTAATATTTGCAGAAAGGTTGGTGATTATGAGTTGCATGTTTAGCTCTGCTGCCTCCTGGCCAGGTCAGAACTCCAGCCTGCCTCCTTGGCCTGCCTGCCTTTGAGTTGTGAGAATGTGAACTACTGAATCATCACCCTTTCTGTAGAGTTTCCATTCTTGGCATTTCTCCATGAATTATGTCAATACTGGCTTTCTCTCCAAGAAATTCCTTTAATTTTCTCTTCTAAATTAGACTCTGCTTAGCTGTGGTTTTCTTCCCTGCAATATCTCAATTTCTCTTCATTACAGTGCCTAAAATCCTTTTCATTTATACCTTTTTCACCTATCTACCTTAATCACTTGTTCTTCTCTATTTCTTCCTTTCCTATTGATCTAAATGCATTGTGGTCTCTCATGCTGTCTTTCCAGTGGTTCTGGTTCTCCATCATGTCAAATTTACATTTATTTGTTCTCACAAGCATAACTGCACTTGCAGTATAATCTAATATTGTCTCTTATTTTACTGTCCTACTCTTTTTAGTCTGCCAGAAATGCCAGCCTTGATGTTCACCTTCATTTATCTCTCTAAAAAGGCTTTTTACATTCTTGTTTCTCATCTGTTTACGGAGGAAGATCATTCAAGTTGGCTGTGACTCTCCTCATAAGAGTATCTTCTCAAAATTCACCTTTTTAGCAATGTCTTTCTTCAGGTACATCTTCACAAAGGAGTAATAGATTATTTATACCATTTCCACTATATTTCCTTAATGCTTAATTATCTCTAGCTTATTTTTGTTTTATTCAGAATGAATGTAGAATAGCTTAAGGCGTAGCTTCTGCCTTTGCTAAAGCATGAGAAACATTCCTTTTATGTTGGCTTTGGTAAGTATAAATCCCTTTCCTTCTTTGCTGTTGGGACACAGAAGGCTCCATCTTCTTATTCAACATTGAGCTTCTAGTTCCAAGAATGTACCAAGTTAGAACTTCTCAGAAGGAAAGAGAAGAAATTACATCAACCAAATACGACAAACAAAAAGCAGCATATCTAACGCTCTGCAAGTCAAACTGCTGAACTGTTTTCTCTTTGTGGCGTTATCTCTAGGTTGAATCTAAAGGATGAGAAGCCAAATGACAAGCCAGGCCTAAGCTGAGCGTTGCTTAAGGCTGACAAGCAATTTGCAAAGCCAACCTCTGGGAGCTCTCCAAGAAAGGATCAAAACATTGCAGTGTGATTGCATCCACTGCTGCCAGAATCTGCAGGTGAATCAAAATTTTTGTGTCTTTTGACAGATCTAATATAGTCTGTGTTGACATTAGAACATAGCTATTAACCTCTTCCTAGGCTTGTTAAACCAGCATAAGTCTCCTTGTGTTTATACTGTGCTCCAGCCTTAAAACAAAGACAGGAGAGATCCAGGAGGTATCCAGAAGGATAATTGATGGATGTTTCCAGCACAGATAGAGGTAGGAGATCCTTACATTTCCTGCTACCGAGACCATTTGGTTGTAAATTAGAAACTTAGAATGAGAAATTAGAAACTACTTAGAAATGAAAAAGTACAAGTGATTACTGTCCTGGCAATATGTGTATATATATATTTATATAAAATTCTATTTTAATGTTAGTATAGACTGTTAAATGTGTTATTCAGTCTTCATTAGCTTAAATGTCACATGCTTCCCAATTTTTAATTCCTCTTATTGTCAAGAAATATGATTCTATGGCAAATTTTTCTCTCTTTAGCACCAGGTTGAGACAAATCTCTTCATGCTGTTGTGCCCTTTAGGAATACTGTCAAATTCAATCATTCAGGACTCATGAGTCTTGCACTAACATGAAGAGATTGATTTGAAAACCATGGGACTAAAGGTTGTTTGTTTTTTTTTTTTTCCTGTTTTTCATTTTCCATTTCCATACCTTAACCATTTTACATGAAAGCTGAGATCACCAGCTTTGCTCTCACATGCAAATGAGTACTTCACAATGCTATGAAGCCCTAGAATAGTGCACTAGGATGTGACAGTGACTGTCTGTGCCAGTATTTTCTGATCAGTTAGATCTATCTGAAATGTCAAGAATTATTGTGGTGTCAGAAAATATACTGGAATATAGCAGCCTCTGCAGCCCATTTAGAGTGAGTTAAAAATAGACATAAAAAGTACCTCAGGCAAAGATGCAGAGGAATTCTTGACCTTTCATAAACTGGGCCCCATTAAAACAAAGTATGCTTTCATAAAGTCAACAGAAGACATACACCTAAGAATAAATGAATGCAGGTTGTCCTAAGCAATGAAGAAGTTTGAAAAGGACTAGTAAGTCAAATGGCAAGTAAATGAACACCGGTTCCAAGTGTGATGTTGTAGCACAAAGGGTCCATGCAAACCTTGACGTGCGGACAGAGTGCAGATATTAATGGTGGTAATTTTTACATCTATGTATAAATTGCAGAGAGTGATTCAGGCATGGCTTTTATAGTTCTGGTGCTCATGTTGCAAGATGGATACAAAAAAAAAAAAAGAAATGAGTACAGAAAAAAGCTATAGGATGTTCTGTCAGAGAAAATGACATATAACAGAAGAACTAAAAATATACTGAATCAAAAATACTGAAAGGTGAGTTTATAACAGTGTATACATAACACGCACAGAAAGAATTATTGAATATAAGGACCTTTGAATTTACCACAGAGTGATGTAAGAAGGAATAATGCATGGTAGCTGGAATCAAGCAAGTTCAAACAGCGTTGGCCTTCAGTACCCAGTTCAGTACCACTGACAATAATGTGGTTGATTTCTGGGCTCTTGGTGTTTTCAGATCAGGACTCAGTGCCTTCCTGGAACACGCAGTTAGCTAAACACAAGCTATACTGTGTTTGAGGACAGCACAGTCCAGGGCTAATTGGGTTAAATACAATTGCCTGTAATTTACAGGACAGCAGACTATATACTCCAATAGTCCCTCTTTCATAGACTTTATAAATAAATTTCTGTATTTATAACCTCTCCAAGAACTCAATAAATAATTCTTTTCTTACTTCCACCCCACATCTAGCCTTTCGTTCTGTGTATGCCTTTCCCGTCTTTGACTATCCTGTCCCAGTTGCAGAGCACTGTGGCATAGAAAAATACCACTTACAGATAATGGGGAGATGATTGCACCCACTTCTTGTCCCAGCTGCTCAGATTACTAAATATCTCAGCAGTTTCTCAAGTAGCATCCGTGGCCCTTGCCTTTATTTACCACCTAGAGGAATGCATTTCATCCATACTCTACTACTGCAGTCTTTTATTGGGTCAGTTCATCAAATGTGCCTCAGCAAATGATTGAGACTGCAGCCAAAAGCAAAGCAACATAGCTGGTCTGGGGTTATGCTTCAGAGACTTTTCCAGCCTTTAGACAAAATTAAAATAGACATAATTAAGGCTTTTTCCAGCAGCAACCATCCATTTAAAGTAATTTGAATGTTATTCTGTTTTCTGCAACTTCTGAGGTTGCTTACAGCTTAACAGGAATACTGTGCCTGGCCAAAATGGTACCTATGTGACTAAAGGGAAAACTGGTATCTTATGTGCATATTAGCTGAGTGTTCTTCCTTTCCTCATATTCTGTCTTATCATTATCTGGAGCATCTGTTTGAAAGTATACATTTCTTTTGTCCTTCTCTATATTTTACCAACATATAAGGTGTTTCTTTGCATGGTTAAATGAGAGATTCTGTTCTCCTAATAGATATGTAGGTAACACTTTGCTTTTGCTCCACTATCTGACATAAGGCTGATCTAGTAACCTCACTTATTGAATAACTGTGTTGTCGTTGGGAATATTCACACATGTAAAATGAGGAGGACCTGGCCCTTTGGTCATATTTTTGTAATAAAAGATAAAATGAGATTTTAGGAAACTGCAACTTATGACCATGATATTTATGAGACTGTCAGGATTGCACTGTAAAAATTCTTATTATTTAATTCTTCACTTTGACACTAAAGCATCATTTCATTTATATGTAAATAAGAATATACTCTACTGCTGTTTCTTCACTGAAGAAGCTGTTTGAATTATTCACATTTTATTAATAAAGCTTCATAAATAAGTATTTTTTCTACTCAACTGGTAGTGGCCAGGGGAGAGAATCTGTTTATCAGACTTGGTTATTATGAGCTTCATAACAAAATATGAAGATTTATGGAGTACATAATTAGATATTATGTGATCGTAATGGTAACATTGGGTTATACAGATGAAATACGCTTTTCTTTGTGCACTTCTCCTTGGTAGAGGCACTTTCCGGAAAATGGACTAAACTCATCCCCGTCACTATGTTCCAAACTGTCTGTGAAACAAACAAAGCAATTTAATACCTTTTTGTGATCACACACACCAAAATAATTTTGAATAATGAAAGGATGCCTAAGAAAGATGAGTGTGGTGAAAATGCTACCTCTCTTCTGTGCAGAGGAGATGTCTCCAGACCTAGGATAACTTTGTATGTGACATTACAATGTACAGCCTGAAAGTGGCTGGCCTTTAAACAATCGTTTAAATACCCAGCATTTAATTTTCCCTTCAAGCACAGACCATGGAGCACTCCTGTGGTGAAATCAATTCTACCAGTGCTGTGAATGAGGCTGCCTGTAAGGCTGAGCCCCAGCACTGAGTCCTGTGTTCTGCCTATGTTTTGGCAGAAAAGGGATTCCCTGGTGATCTACTTAGCCAAGACATCAGCTTCTTCAGGTGTGCACTAGGAGGACTTCAGGAATCCAGGGTATTTTCTTCAGCAAAATCAGAGCAATCCATAGAGACTAAATGAAATTTCTGTAAATTGCTTTGTCAGAGTTAGGTATGTATATTGCTCTTAAAATAGACACCTTTTGAAAATACTGGCACTGAATTGTCCTTGGAGATTTGAAGAATGAGACATGCAGAATAATACAGTTGTGAGATGTCCAATTCTATCATACAATAGCACCTGAGTACCTACAGATGACCTAAACCAATGAAAAATTAAGGCAAAAAGGCCAGAAGTGAAATATCTGCTGAGTATTACAGATCAACCCACAGAGTTTTATTTTATTGCTACGTGCTGTAATCCAAGCAGAGTTTCAGTTTCATCAACTGCACCTCTGAAATCCAGTGTAGCAAAACTACTGTAAATTAGAAGTCGTCTAGTAAATCGAGGCTGCCTAAGTTCTTGTAGCCAGCTGGAGATGTTTTGTGGGAAAAATTGCCGGCTTGAATTTTGACCTTGTCAATTAGACAAGTGCTGATTTTACTGTTTCTGTGGAAGCAAGACCATGGAGCATGTCCTTTGGAAAGCTTTCAACATCACAGTTAGCAAGACTGAGAAATTAACCTGTAAATGTATACATGATTGTTCTTGAAGCTTTTTTTTTTTCTTTTTTTTTTTTTTTTTGCATGTGAAATAAGGGCCTGTAAGCTGTCTTAGACTTCATGCAACCAAGCACTTATGTGTGCACTTAAATTTAAACATGTAACATTTATGAAGGCATTGAATCGGGTTGTGTGCTGCTTATAGCAGCATGTGCTAGATAGGCATATGTGTGTTTAGAAGAACAGCAATGAGCATTCCTCAATAATTACTTGCATCTACGCTGAAGGATCCTGTATTGGTTGATAGAATCGGTGAGGAAGAGAATGTTCTAAAAATTTTCAGCTGTGCATAGTTATTATGGCCAGAGCAAAATTTAATTGTACACTAATTCTGTGACACCTTACACATGACCAGAATTATAGAATCATTTAGCTTGGAAAAGACCTCTAAGATCATCTAGTCCAACCCTTATGAAATTCTTCAAAAAGCACTTTTTACACTAGTCTGTACAACCACAGATTCAATTGCTAATTATAACACTGAGTAAGTCCTGAAAGTGCTACACCTCAAGTACTCACTGTATTAATTTTTGAAGAATCAATATTGTAGCAGTAATGTAGCACTCATTTCTGGACTTTAATTTAAAAAAAAAAAAAGTTAACAGTTAACTTTTATCTCAAGATTCTTTAATCTTCTACATGTTGTATACTAGCTAAAACATTTAAACAGAAGCTTGCTATTGTTCCTTCAACAGTATGTATTTGCTGCCTATTTGCAATATTGTTCAGAATTGTTCACAATAAGCAGAGTAAAAACAGTAGTATAAGTATAAACATGTTTTGTTTTGCTGGGATGTTTGTGACAGAACTATAGGCAAGAAAAGCAATTCTGATGTCTAGAGACATCTGATAAGCCAAAAGTTTTATC